GGTGTGGCTGTGATTGTGCCGCGGGAGGTGAGGCGCTGATGGAAGGGGGGGGAGGGGAAGTGTGAGGTAAGGTGGAGTTGGCGAACGGGGTGCATGACAGGAGGTTGATTGCGTCCGTGAAAACAGCTGAGCCATGCACCTGTAATGACATAGCGTATGACCGTAGCCATGTCTCGATGTATGTGTTAAATCTACTGTGTGTTACCAAATCCAGCCGCAAGTCATTACTGCATTTGTACATGTGTCCATTACTTAACGGTGTCCAATAACCCAACCAGACGAAACAAACCACCCCCCCTCCTCTTTTGCCCCTCCTCCTCCCCGACTCCAGGAGTGTGACTACTCCGGGGAGGGCTCGCTGTGGATCTTCCTGCGGGACCTGTGCACCGCGATGCACAACTGCGGCATGGCAGTGGTGAGCCAGAGGGCGGGGGCCGGAGGCAGGGGGCAATATGGGGGGAGGTTTAAACCGTGCAAGTTACCGGTGTCACTGCCCATTTTCCAGCCAGTTTACACACCCCCGCCCCCCTCCGACTCCCGCTTGCCCCCCAGGCATGTGACCCGAGCCGACCGGGAGCCTCCCCCCCGGTGCAGTGGCATGTGGACCCACGCGGCCACAACCGGGGCATCGAGACGACCATGCGGGCGGCGGCGGATGCGGCGAGGGCGGTGTACGGCAAGCCGGCTCAGCTCATCCTTGTTGTACTGCCCGACAAGGTTTGCACGAGCGAATGCGTGCGTGCCATTGTGTTTGAATGCTGCCAAGGGGTTTGTTAAGGGGCGGGAGGGCTAAAGGGGGTGGGAAAGGGGAAAAAAGCTGCTATGAGCACGTATGGAGTAAATAGCTGTCTCCGCCCTTCCAAGGTCCTTGCCCTTGCCGTACACCCCTCACACATCCCTGCCGTACACCCCTCACACATCCCTGCCGTACACCCCTCACACATTCCTGCCGTACACCCCTCACACATCCCTGCCGTACACCCCTCACACATCCCTGCCGTACACCCCTCACACATCCCTGCCGTACACCCCTCACACATCCCTGCCGTACACCCCTCACAAATCCCTGCCGTACACCCCTCACAAATCCCTGCCGTACACACCTTGTCCCCCAGCTGCTTGATGAATACAAGGAGATCAAGCGTGTCTCCGACATCGAGCTGGGCATTCCCTCGCAAGTGGTGGCGGGCACCAAGGTAAGGAGGCCAAGAGGGAGAAAGGCCATGTGGGCTCTGGCTATAGCTACATCATCATCCTGATGTGGGGAAAGTTAATAATAGGATGCTAGATATAACAGAGCATATGAGTTCAGCAGTGTTTGCTTACCCCTCTCAGAAGCAAGCATACAATTCCACGCCTCTTCCACACCCTTCTCATTAGCTCTGGTCCTTCTTCAGTAACCCCATAAACACACTCGCGGCCAGTTTTTTTAACACACACCGCCTGCCCCTCCAGGCCAAGGTGGGGCGGCAGCAGGCGGGGAAGCGCTGTGGCGGCCTGCAGTACTGCGCGAACGTTGCAATGAAGATCAACGGGAAGCTGGGGGGCGTCAACGTCACCCTGGCCGGGGGCGCCAGGTAGGAATGGCAGCGCAGGGGGGCTTTCAGCGGGGCCGGACGTGTATGTTTGGGGTTTTGGGTACATGCATACATGTGGGGGGTGTCTTATCTCACATCCCCCTTTCCTCCCTTCCCTTCCCCGCCCCGTCCCCCCCACCCCTCTTCCTCAGGCACCTCCCGGTCCTAGGCGGCGACCGCCCACTTCCCTTCATGATCCTGGGTGCTGACGTCACCCACCCCACCGGCACCCCCTCCCGCGCCTCCTCCTCCTCCTCCCCGCTGCACGACCCCTCCGTGGCGGCGGTGGTGGGCAGCCTGGACCCCGGCATGGGCCGCTGGGCTACCCGGGTGATGGTGCAGGCGGGGCGGCAGGAGGTGATCAGCGGCATGCGGAGCGCGGTGAAGGAGCTCCTCCTGGAGTTCTACCAGGCTAACAGGCAGGGCGTGGGGGGGAAGGGGGGGTGGGGGAGTGTGTGTGTTTTGTACGACATATGAGGTGCACACGTGTTGTGTTCTGGGAGCGAGGAGGCAGTGCAGGGGTGAGTGTAAGCAATGGTTGGCACATGCACACAAATATGCACTTACGGCACCACCACTTTACGGACGTACGGCAGCAGCAGGTAGCCTGGGTGGAGTGGATGGCTGGCTGCAGCTGAGTCCCCCCATCCTGCTCAGTACACAAATACACATCACAGTATAACCACCAACACCTTTTTTTAACACACAGCCAGTTTTCTTGGTTTCCCTCGCAGGCAGGTTAAGCCCGCCCGCCTGGTGATGTACCGGGACGGAGTGAGCGAGGGGGAGTTCGAGAGGGTGATGGTGGACGAGTATGTGGCCATACAGCAGGTGAGCGGAGTAGGGAGGGGAGCAAGGGGGTTAGGGAGCGGAAGGGGAGGCTTAGCCTTTGGGGAGGTAATGGGCGTGAGGAGGAAGGGGGCAAGCAGTGGATGAGAGAAGCGGAAGGGGAGGGGAGAGACGGTAAAGGGGATAGGCAACTTGGCACAACATGAAGGGGGTTGGGAGGGGAAGGAGGGGAAGGAGGGGACAGAGGGGTGGTATCAAGAGTACCGGTACCAGGAAGTGGGAGTCCGTTGCCGACCTTTCTATGCACCCCCTCTTGCCACCCCTCTCCCACCCCCCCTCTCACCCCTCCCCCATCCCCATCCCTCTCCCAACCCCCACCCCCATCCCGCAGGCCTGTTCGGACCACGATGCTGCCTACCGGCCCGCCATCACGTTCGTGGTGGTGCAGAAGCGCCACAACACGCGGCTGCTCCCGGGAGAGAGGGTGGCGGCGGACAGCAAGTGAGAGGAGGGAACTGGGACTGGGGCTGGGATGTGCGAATTGAGAAAGGGTTGGCAGGAGTGCGAGGCAGGAGTGCGAGGCAGGAATGCATCCGTTAACGATGACTGATTGGTGGCCATGCTAGGTCGGTTGTTGGCGGGTCGGTACTTCACCCAGTAGTGTATCTCCATCTTTGGCAGCGGAGTCCCCTTGTTGCCATTTAACGGTGGTTAACTAGCAACCATGGGGCTCCGCTGCCAGTGATGGAGATACACTACTGGGTGAAGTAGTGAACCTGTGAACAGCGCCGTACACCTGGCCAGGAAGGCCCAACCTACCTTACCTCCCAACCCCAATGACCTCCTGCCTCCCCCCCTCAACCCCTCAACCCCTCATCCACAGCGGCAATGTGGTGCCGGGCACGGTGGTGGACTGCGGCATCACCTCCCGGGATGCCTTCGACTTCTACCTGAACAGCCACGCAGGGCTGAAGGTGGGGGCATGTAGGGGGAGAGAGGCGGAGGAGAAGCAGGGGAAACTGAGAAAGAATCGCATCAGAACTGCATTAAGAGCTGCATGTGTGTGTACATATAGGTATCCAGCACGTTATCCAGCACAGAAAGGGCAGTCTCAGCAGAAAGAGTGGGTAGCTTGTGGCCAGTAAGCACACCCATCGCCCTTCCTCCCCACCTCAGGGTGCCGGTACCAACAAGCCGGCACACTACCATGTCCTGCTTGATGAGATTGGCTTCGGGGCCGACGGCATCCAGCTGCTCACGTACTGGCTGTGCTACCTGCACCAGCGGGCGACCAAGTGAGGGGGGAGGGAAGGCTGAGGAGGGAAAAGGGTACCGGTACGAGGGGAATGCAAAGTTTTGCATGAGAGAAACGGGCAGGAGGAACAAGTTTCCTAGGACCCCAGAAAGGGGTTCATACATCATACCATCAGCCCCACCCCACCCCACCCCACTCCACCGCATTGCATACCCCCCCACCTTCACCTCCCTCCCTCCCTGCCACTGCTGCCAGGTCGGTGAGCTACTGCCCGCCCGCCTACTACGCCGACCGAGCCGCATACCGCGCCCACATGCTGCTGGTAAGAGTAGGGCAGGAGCAGCAGGGGGGACGGGAGCGAAGAGGAAGACTACAGAGCTCCGGTTGTTCAGAAAGCAGGGGATGTCACCACCCCCGACTGCATACACCCCAGCCAACCATCTTATCAACCCCCTTTGCCTTACCCAACTATCACATCCTGTTCACTCTCTCCTCCCCCACTTTTACTCCCTCCCCTACCCCCACACACAGGCCGCCTCCTCCTCCGACAGCGCCTCCGAGGTCGCCTCACTGGGTGGCGGGGAGGTGGGGGAGGCGGCAGGGGGGGCGGGCGCTCACTTTGTAGGCATCCACCAGCGCCTGAAGAACTTGCTCTACTACATGTAGGGGGTCGTCGAGCGGAAGGGAGAGGGGATTGAGCGGAGGGCAGGGGCTGCTTGGGTATGGGTGGGGATGTGGGTGGAGCGGCAGGAGCAGGGTCTGGTGTGTGGGGTTAGGGAGTGGCACATGTATGACGGGGCTGCCTGGAGCAAGGGAAGGCTGTGTCCCAAATGCATGACACAGTACGGTGGAAGGTTGTGGAGGTGTTGCAGTTGATTGTGTCAAGATAACTGGCCATGTGGTCGAGTGTGTTTGCATAACGATTGAGAGGCGGGGGAGGACTTCAGGAGAGGAGTTGGTCTTGGTTGATGTGGGGCGGAGTAGTCTTAGTTATGATTAGGCGAAACAGAGCAAGGTTATCAAGGTTGCGCACCTCTGGAGTGCTAACCAAATCCTCTCCTGACCCATGGGTCATTTGCGTGTTTTACATGTGGACGAACGCTGTGACGGGTGCTGCCCGTGCAGTACTGCGACTGTACCCATCACACGGGCTCTTTTACCATGCTTCTGGTGCTGGCCGGCTGGGGTTTGCTCACGAGACTCACGACAACGGAACTCCTTATGGTGAAGGAGAAATGTCGTACTTCCTGTGCTTTATAGCATTGCAGAGAAAAACGTTGCTTTGACACGTGGACTGGCTAAACGTTTGATTGCCTTTTAACCCTACAAGGAGAACCTCCCCGGGTAATTACGGGATCCCCCCATACGCATACATACTGCAGCTGCTTTCTTTTACAGAAAAGAAAGGATGGTCGCTTGTATTGAATACTGCCTATCACCATCCTACACATGCAGAACCCCTCTCATTATGGTCATAGGAAATATATCAGGACGGAGGGATGATACACACCACCAGTAGCTTCGAGCAACAAGAAGAGGAACCCATCCAGCATCCACACCCCCCCATGGCCACTGTTTGCCATATCCAGGTAAAAGCCCCCAACCCCTTCCGAAGCATCGAGGAATCAGTTCAGTTTAACCACTTCATCCGAGGCATCTTCAAAAGTTCACAGAGCAAGTGCCGCCAGTAATGCAGGCAGCCCACCGACCCATGGGACACAGCAAAGAACCTCTCATCACTCAACCAGAACACCCTCCCCCAACAGCTCGCAAGGACATCCATAGCAGAAAGAGGCGAGTGTCAAAGCACAAGGGAGAATGAAATCCATGAGGTGTGTTAACATCGCTCGCGCAAACAGTAAGAACAATGCAGCGCTTCTCTCCATCACCCGCCACCACCACCACGGACACTGCTTTCCATTGTTAGGATAATCGGCTTCATGGGAACCACCTAAACGCTGCAAGGGGCCAGGAGAAAGGGTACGTGTATGGTTGGAGCAGATGACCAGGTCCAACCAGGAACACGGCATTGGATGAACCTCACCACATTCATCAGGGCCAACACCGGCCCTACCAGCACCACAACATCACTCTCGTCAGTACCACCACATAGGATTCCAGTCGTTCGCCGTGTAGGAACACCTCTTCTTCTCCCTTATGAGCATTAGCAATATTTTAACAGTTGACAGCATGGAGCTTCATTGCTTGATGAAACAACAGGCCGTGGGTACTCGCTTGCCAACAATAACACTATAACAGTTTCAGAAAAGGGTAGCATTGTTCACAACATCATTCCTCAGCACTCAGCCCACATGCTCCTCGCCTACATCACCTTGGCAAGGAGGATCAGCCAAAGAGCATCAGAGCCACTAACAGCTTGTTTCAGCAGAGGGCTGGTGGCGCCCCAGCAAAGCAAAACAGCCCTGACCATTTTCCAAACCAAACCAGGGCGCCAAGCTTGCTCCCAGCAGGTCCGCTGTCCGCCACTGTTGCACCCTCCACCCCGCACCCTTAAAAAAGTACCAGCCATTTCGTAACACCCAGCGGTGCACCCAAAGCAGCGGACAATATTGGCCTGAAATCCGGCCTGTGACACTTAAATCAACGGCACCCCTCTTAGGGACACTATAGGCTAGACTCACATCCGCCTGTCCGTCCTAAGCCACTACCATGACCACAACCACCAACAACATAACGACTTACCCCAGCACTGCTGAGCCACCATGCTATCCCATCAGCCCATCATTTACCAAGCATAAATTGCACCATCATCATCACTGCACCGAGCTGAACTGGAACGGATCCAAGTCTTGGTACCTGCACAACAAATGTAACCCCCAGCCCCCCACATCCAGCAATCCAGGCAGCAAGCCACCCATGCACCCCAGTACACCCGCCAGCCTCATTGGAAGCCTTGTGTGACAGTATCACCGCTATCATTGCTACCATCACAACCACCACCACCACCAAACCAGTCCCATGTGCATAAACCTTCCCAATTTGGGCATGCTCGACCAAGCCTTCGTTTGCCAAGGCACTCCTTTCCTATTCTTAAGATGATGATAGGCAGCAGCGGATGCCTGCACTACATCAGACTAAAGGACATGAGCCCAGGAGAGAATACTATCAATCCAGCATATAGCCAAACGGGGAGGGCTACAAAAGCACACTATTTGATTAAAACATCCAAATTAGGCCGCCACCAAAGTAAGGATTCGGAAGAGGATATGAAAGACCCAAATCCATTCCAAATCACCCCACACACTTTCAAAATTGACAAAGCTTGTAACCAACCCTGCAAGCAGCATCCGACGCTGCAGGTGAGGATTATGTTTGAAATGGCCAACACACGGCCACATCGGAATGAAGGAGACAGCGGCTGCACCGCACACCATCCCTTACCTCCAGCGGCGGCAAGTATGCACGCCAAGAAAAGACATTCGAAGGTTCATACACAAATCTTTTGTTTGGTTCAGACACTGCAGCGGCTAAAGCAAAGGTCGCAGGAAAAAAACATGATCTTCACACTATGCGCCGGCCCCACTACTTGCAGCAACAGCAAAATACGAGAAGCAGGCGGAACCGGAAATACACAGAACTGCCCTCCTTGCAAACGGCCTGATGCCCATATATCTACGGCCTGCACGCCATTGCACGATTAAATGCTCAAGGAGAAGCAGCAAGTGTGATGGCCCAGCTACCTCCAGGATTCTCATCGTAAGATCCCAAGACAGAGGTAGACGCCCAGTGGGTGCACCTCTGGTGAACAGGAGGAACCACCTTCTGGAACCCCTTACACCATCGCCCTCCGTCGTTCTCTCCTTGTGTGCTTGCCATCACCATCAGGGCCGGCATCGTGTCAAAGAAACTTTCACGCCACCCCAAACAGAGCAGATGTCACATTTCAGCTCATTCTTTTCGAGCAGTGGCTTGCATGGGGGTCCAACGTGTGAACAAAAGGACTTTAGTAACAGCACATAGATGGCCACCTAGTGGCCGCACGCACTAGGCAAGTATTTCCGCAAGCAGTGTAGATCTAACACAACAAACAAAGGTATATAGCAAGCGGTTTAAGAGAATATTTTAATGCAGTATAGTCAAAGCGGGATTGGAGGCACCTCAGCCCCGAACAACCTGAACCTGCGCGTGTCACTTCACAATTAATAGCCCCTATTGCCACTATCACGACAAGACATACGTCCACGCATAAACTGATCAACAGCGCGGTCCCTCGGTGCAGACGAGGAGCACGCCCCCTCAGCCATCAGTCGTGACCCTCCAGCGCCTTGCACCGACGCCGCCGCCACCATCCCTCCTGCTCCCGCTGCTGGCATCCCTGCCCCTCCTGTTCCCGTACCCTCTCCTCCTCCTCGTCCTGCAGCCAGCAGGGACCCACCGACTCCGCCCGCCGCCAGCCGTCCACTGCTGCTGCCGGACGCGCTGGACCCGAGACCCACCTCAGACACAGCGGGCGCCGTCATCTGCCCAGGCGCTGCACCACCGGCCGTTCCCGCGCCCCCTACTCCTCCTACCACCACCGCCGCCCCTGCCGCAAGGCTCTGCAGGGCAGCGTCCGGCAGCGTGCCCAGCAGCATGGCGCGCTGCTGCAGCTCCCGGCGCTGCCGTGTGGCACCCTCCGACTGGGGCTCCCACAGGAACGTCTCCATGCGACCCTTGCCCTTGACCTGGAGGAGTAGGGGGAAGGGCAGGAGGAGGCGCGGGGTTAGGGGAATGAGCGTACTGCGCTGATGGTCAGTATGTGAAGGACGAGGAAAGGAGGCAAGACACGAGATTCAAGAATAAATGAGGGCGGTCGGGGCGTGGAGGGTGGGCCCTGAATAATCAGGACGCTGGAAAGGACAAGGCCAGGTGTATGCTGCGAGGCAAGCAAATGCCCGAGAGACTCCCCCCTCCCTTGCCACGTCTCTCGTCACGCACCTCCACGCCCCCGGTGCTGACCCAGCCCAGCTCGTCCTCCCCAGCGGGCAGCAGTCTGCGCGTGGACGCGGACACGTGGATGCAGCCGGGCCGACCCGTGCTCTCCTGAGGGCGTGGGCGCGGGTGGGGAAAGGATAATGGAAGGGGTGAACTGGGAGGTCAGGAGGACGGATACTTGGTTGTTCAGGATGGAGGAGTGAATGCTAGGTCAGCACATGGGTACAGGGTTTAGACACCGCTAGGAACTCTCCGAGCCAGGGCCGCCAGCCGGCAGCAGTGCGCGCGCCCGCCCAGCGAGGCGGTGCGGGCGGACAGCAGTCGGCAGGCGGCGGAGCGGATACGGTCTACAGGGCGGGGGCCGGAGAAGACGGTGCGGGAGGCGGCCTGCGTGGGGGTGGTGGTTGGAGGGGTTGGGAGGTGGGGGGGGGGAAGAGGAGGAATGGTAAGGGGTACAGGAGCAGCAGCGGTGTTGGGTGAGCACAGAGGCAGGGGAGGCATGACGTGTGGCTCCCCTGCCGCCGGCTGGCTTCGAAAAACACACCACCAAGAGCCACCTCCCCCCTGGCTTCACCCCCCCCCCCCGCCGCCGCCGCCGCCTCCCCCTGCCCCTCCACAAGCACTGGGAAGCACCCCTTGCCTCGCGCCCCACTCAACCGCTTCAACAGCCAGCTCCCGACCACCAACACATCCGCCGCCGCCGACCCCACTCTTCCAGCTGACGCCGCCTCCGGCACCGGCGGCAACAGCTGAGGAACCGTTTTCCGCAGTCGCCTCAGCAGCTCAGGCAACGGCATCTGAAAGCGCCGTGCATCGTACGAACCATGGGCCCGTACGGCAGTGGCCCCCGCCGCCGCCGCCACTGTCGTACGCAGCCCCGCCGCCGCCAGCGTCAGCGCCGCCGCCGCCGCCAACCGCTCCGCTGCACCGGGGCCTGAGAACACGAGTCGCACATAGTGGCGCAGCAGATCGGGGCGCAGGGGCCAGTGCTCGGCGGCGGTGGTGGTGAGGGTGGTGGTTGCGGAGGTGGCGGAGGCGGAGGCGGACCGATGTGTTGTACGAGCGGTCATGGGACTGCCGGCGCCGTACCTCCTAGCGGTGCCGTGGGTAGTTGCAGCAGCAGTTGCGTGGACTCCTTCTCCTTCTTCTTCTTGCTGCTCCTCCTCCTCCTCCTCCTCCTCCGCAGCAGCATCATCGGCCTCACCGACCTCCTCCAATGCGTCCGCTGCACTGCGGCCGAGACCACCTAAGCCGTCGTCACCCAGGCCGCCACCTCCGTAATCGACATCATCCACGGTGACGTCATCGCCGTACGGATCAGCTACTGTGCCGTACATGGCATCGAATGCCCCCTCCTCCTGATCCTCCTCCTCCTCCTCCCCATACTCCGTGCCGTACAGTCCTCCTCCTCCTCCTCCCGCCAGCACCTCCTCACCGCCGTCGTCCTCCCTCTCCTCGATGAAACCCAAGTCGTCGCCGCCGCCACCACCGCCGCCGCTGCCGCCGATGACCCCGCCGGCCGGGGAGTCATTATCCCGAGCAGGGGCGCCGCCGCCGCCGCCGCCGTCACCCCTCTTTATCTTGGCCGCCGTCACCGTGTCAGGAGCTGACTGCATGCGCGGCCTAGGAGGCGTCACGCGTGTCTCTCCCTGCTGCCCCCGCTGTTGCCGCGCCTCCTCCCCTTCCAGCCGCCCCTCCTGCTGCTGCTGTTGCTGGTGCTGCTGCGGCTGCTGCTGTTGCTGCTGCTGTTGGAGGAGGGTGGAGAAAACCAGCCGTACGAAACCCTGTCCCTGCTCCCCCTGCTGCCGCTGTAGCAGCTCCAGGCAGGGCTCATCCGCCAGCAGTTCGTCCAGGGAGGAGTACGGCAGGGGGGACGGAGGGGCAGCAGCAGCGGCTGCCTCCCAGGCGGCTGCAAGGGCGCGTTCCGCGTCCTGCACGGGAGCTAGGAAGAGGTCGGCGGCTCGGGTGTCGATTTGGTGGCGGGAGACGATGAAGCTTGCCTGGTGGGGTGGAGGAGGGGAGGGGAAGGAGGGGGGTGTATGGCGTGAGTGGCTGAGGAGCACTTAAGGCAGTGGTTGGAACTTGGAAGGCAAAACCTGGGATGGGTGGAACAGGAAGGGGGGTAGCGAGGGAAGCGTCTGGTGTAACCCAGAGTCGCCGGCGGCGTGGGGACACTGTTCGGCAATCACATTATTATTTCTTATTATGACAATGCATTTTGTTAATAGTCAGCCACGCACCAGCATGTTTTTGGCCCATGAACTTGGCGAATCGCAGGACCATGTTCGCTCAATTAGCTCCTTTAAGCTAGCTTTGCCGGCACCTAGGAGTGCTGCTGCATCCACAAGCACATTGCCTGTGATTTCACCAAAAGAAAAGCAGCGATCTGCAGATAAGATAGAGACAAGATGTTCGGCCGCAACAAGCTCTCCAGGCACGCCAGAGGCAAGGCTTGACTCCAGTACGGTAGAAAGCTCTTGAAGGGGAAGTCTATAGTGTGGCACAGTTAATAGCTTTGACGCTGCGAGTCGCTTTATCCGAGACTCATCGGACCCTCCTCGCCAGACTAGGTTGGCATATATGTGAAGCGAGGTCGCCATAGTGCATATCGCCTTGTGCCAACAAAAGCCACACCCAAAAGCATTAACCTCGCATAACTCCTCGACTTGTGTCTCGCTAACCGTTCAATCCTAACGACCAGCCGTAAGGTGTACGACAGCAGCTTTCGTACGTCAAGGAATTCACTCTTCGGAAAGCTCACCCACCAAGTATGCAAGTATCCGGTGCTATTGTGATTGCGGAATAGCAGCACGGACTCCTGCACAGTATGCCAACAACATGTACGGTGGTGGAGAGCCCCATGCAGCAGGCAGGTGGTAGAGAGCCCCATGCAGCAGGTAGGTGGTAGAGAGCCCCATGCAGCAGGTAGGTGGCGGAGAGCCCCGTGCAGCAGGTAGGTGGTAGAGAGCCCCATGCAGCAGGTAGGTGGTAGAGAGCCCCGTGCAGCAGGCAGGTGGTAGAGAGCCCCATGCAGCAGGTAGGTGGTAGAGAGCCCCATGCAGCAGGTAGGTGGTAGAGAGCCCCATGCAGCAGGTAGGTGGTAGAGAGCCCCATGCAGCAGGTAGGTGGCAGAGAGCCCCATGCAGCAGGTAGGTGGCAGAGAGCCCCATGCAGCAGGTAGGTGGTAGAGAGCCCCATGCAGCAGGTAGGTGGTAGAGAGCCCCATGCAGCAGGTAGGTGGCAGAGAGCCCCATGCAGCAGGTAGGTGGTAGAGAGCCCCATGCAGCAGGTAGGTGGTAGAGAGCCCCATGCAGCAGGTAGGTGGTAGAGAGCCCCATGCAGCAGGTAGGTGGCAGAGAGCCCCATGCAGCAGGTAGGTGGTAGAGAGCCCCATGCAGCAGGTAGGTGGTAGAGAGCCCCATGCAGCAGGTAGGTGGTAGAGAGCCCCATGCAGCAGGTAGGTGGCAGAGAGCCCCATGCAGCAGGTAGGTGGCAGAGAGCCCCATGCAGCAGGTAGGTGGTAGAGAGCCCCATGCAGCAGGTAGGTGGTAGAGAGCCCCATGCAGCAGGTAGGTGGTAGAGAGCCCCATGCAGCAGGTAGGTGGCAGAGAGCCCCATGCAGCAGGTAGGTGGCAGAGAGCCCCATGCAGCAGGTAGGTGGTAGAGAGCCCCATGCAGCAGGTAGGTGGCAGAGAGCCCCATGCAGCAGGTAGGTGGCAGAGAGCCCCATGCAGCAGGTAGGTGGTAGAGAGCCCCATGCAGCAGGTAGGTGGTAGAGAGCCCCATGCAGCAGGTAGGTGGTAGAGAGCCCCATGCAGCAGGTAGGTGGTAGAGAGCCCCATGCAGCAGGTAGGTGGTAGAGAGCCCCATGCAGCAGGTAGGTGGTAGAGAGCCCCATGCAGCAGGTAGGTGGTAGAGAGCCCCATGCAGCAGGTAGGTGGTAGAGAGCCCCATGCAGCAGGTAGGTGGTAGAGAGCCCCATGCAGCAGGTAGGTGGCAGAGAGCCCCATGCAGCAGGTAGGTGGCAGAGAGCCCCATGCAGCAGGTAGGTGGTAGAGAGCCCCATGCAGCAGGTAGGTGGCAGAGAGCCCCATGCAGCAGGTAGGTGGTAGAGAGCCCCATGCAGCAGGTAGGTGGTAGAGAGCCCCATGCAGCAGGTAGGTGGTAGAGAGCCCCATGCAGCAGGTAGGTGGTAGAGAGCCCCATGCAGCAGGTAGGTGGTAGAGAGCCCCATGCAGCAGGTAGGTGGTAGAGAGCCCCATGCAGCAGGTAGGTGGTAGAGAGCCCCATGCAGCAGGTAGGTGGTAGAGAGCCCCATGCAGCAGGTAGGTGGCAGAGAGCCCCATGCAGCAGGTAGGTGGTAGAGAGCCCCATGCAGCAGGTAGGTGGCAGAGAGCCCCATGCAGCAGGTAGGTGGCAGAGAGCCCCATGCAGCAGGTAGGTGGTAGAGAGCCCCATGCAGCAGGTAGGTGGCTAGAGAGCCCCATGCAGCAGGTAGGTGGTAGAGAGCCCCATGCAGCAGGTAGGTGGTAGAGAGCCCCATGCAGCAGGTAGGTGGTAGAGAGCCCCATGCAGCAGGTAGGTGGTAGAGAGCCCCATGCAGCAGGTAGGTGGTAGAGAGCCCCATGCAGCAGGTAGGTGGTAGAGAGCCCCATGCAGCAGGTAGGTGGTAGAGAGCCCCATGCAGCAGGTAGGTGGTAGAGAGCCCCATGCAGCAGGTAGGTGGTAGAGAGCCCCATGCAGCAGGTAGGTGGTAGAGAGCCCCATGCAGCAGGTAGGTGGTAGAGAGCCCCATGCAGCAGGTAGGTGGTAGAGAGCCCCATGCAGCAGGTAGGTGGTAGAGAGCCCCATGCAGCAGGTAGGTGGTAGAGAGCCCCATGCAGCAGGTAGGTGGCAGAGAGCCCCATGCAGCAGGTAGGTGGCAGAGAGCCCCATGCAGCAGGTAGGTGGTAGAGAGCCCCATGCAGCAGGTAGGTGGCAGAGAGCCCCATGCAGCAGGTAGGTGGCAGAGAGCCCCATGCAGCAGGTAGGTGGCAGAGAGCCCCATGCAGCAGGTAGGTGGTAGAGAGCCCCATGCAGCAGGTAGGTGGCAGAGAGCCCCATGCAGCAGGTAGGTGGTAGAGAGCCCCATGCAGCAGGTAGGTGGTAGAGAGCCCCATGCAGCAGGTAGGTGGTAGAGAGCCCCATGCAGCAGGTAGGTGGTAGAGAGCCCCATGCAGCAGGTAGGTGGTAGAGAGCCCCATGCAGCAGGTAGGTGGTAGAGAGCCCCATGCAGCAGGTAGGTGGTAGAGAGCCCCATGCAGCAGGTAGGTGGTAGAGAGCCCCATGCAGCAGGTAGGTGGTAGAGAGCCCCATGCAGCAGGTAGGTGGTAGAGAGCCCCATGCAGCAGGTAGGTGGTAGAGAGCCCCATGCAGCAGGTAGGTGGTAGAGAGCCCCATGCAGCAGGTAGGTGGCAGAGAGCCCCATGCAGCAGGTAGGTGGTAGAGAGCCCCATGCAGCAGGTAGGTGGCAGAGAGCCCCATGCAGCAGGTAGGTGGCAGAGAGCCCCATGCAGCAGGTAGGTGGCAGAGAGCCCCATGCAGCAGGTAGGTGGTAGAGAGCCCCATGCAGCAGGTAGGTGGCAGAGAGCCCCATGCAGCAGGTAGGTGGCAGAGAGCCCCATGCAGCAGGTAGGTGGCAGAGAGCCCCATGCAGCAGGTAGGTGGTAGAGAGCCCCATGCAGCAGGTAGGTGGCAGAGAGCCCCATGCAGCAGGTAGGTGGTAGAGAGCCCCATGCAGCAGGTAGGTGGTAGAGAGCCCCATGCAGCAGGTAGGTGGTAGAGAGCCCCATGCAGCAGGTAGGTGGTAGAGAGCCCCATGCAGCAGGTAGGTGGTAGAGAGCCCCATGCAGCAGGTAGGTGGTAGAGAGCCCCATGCAGCAGGTAGGTGGTAGAGAGCCCCATGCAGCAGGTAGGTGGTAGAGAGCCCCATGCAGCAGGTAGGTGGTAGAGAGCCCCATGCAGCAGGTAGGTGGTAGAGAGCCCCATGCAGCAGGTAGGTGGTAGAGAGCCCCATGCAGCAGGTAGGTGGCAGAGAGCCCCATGCAGCAGGTAGGTGGCAGAGAGCCCCATGCAGCAGGTAGGTGGTAGAGAGCCCCATGCAGCAGGTAGGTGGCAGAGAGCCCCATGCAGCAGGTAGGTGGTAGAGAGCCCCATGCAGCAGGTAGGTGGCAGAGAGCCCCATGCAGCAGGTAGGTGGTAGAGAGCCCCATGCAGCAGGTAGGTGGCAGAGAGCCCCATGCAGCAGGTAGGTGGTAGAGAGCCCCATGCAGCAGGTAGGTGGTAGAGAGCCCCATGCAGCAGGTAGGTGGTAGAGAGCCCCATGCAGCAGGTAGGTGGTAGAGAGCCCCATGCAGCAGGTAGGTGGTAGAGAGCCCCATGCAGCAGGTAGGTGGTAGAGAGCCCCATGCAGCAGGTAGGTGGTAGAGAGCCCCATGCAGCAGGTAGGTGGTAGAGAGCCCCATGCAGCAGGTAGGTGGTAGAGAGCCCCATGCAGCAGGTAGGTGGTAGAGAGCCCCATGCAGCAGGTAGGTGGCAGAGAGCCCCATGCAGCAGGTAGGTGGTAGAGAGCCCCATGCAGCAGGTAGGTGGCAGAGAGCCCCATGCAGCAGGTAGGTGGTAGAGAGCCCCATGCAGCAGGTAGGTGGTAGAGAGCCCCATGCAGCAGGTAGGTGGTAGAGAGCCCCATGCAGCAGGTAGGTGGTAGAGAGCCCCATGCAGCAGGTAGGTGGTAGAGAGCCCCATGCAGCAGGTAGGTGGTAGAGAGCCCCATGCAGCAGGTAGGTGGTAGAGAGCCCCATGCAGCAGGTAGGTGGTAGAGAGCCCCATGCAGCAGGTAGGTGGTAGAGAGCCCCATGCAGCAGGTAGGTGGTAGAGAGCCCCATGCAGCAGGTAGGTGGTAGAGAGCCCCATGCAGCAGGTAGGTGGTAGAGAGCCCCATGCAGCAGGTAGGTGGTAGAGAGCCCCATGCAGCAGGTAGGTGGTAGAGAGCCCCATGCAGCAGGTAGGTGGTAGAGAGCCCCATGCAGCAGGTAGGTGGTAGAGAGCCCCATGCAGCAGGTAGGTGGTAGAGAGCCCCATGCAGCAGGTAGGTGGTAGAGAGCCCCATGCAGCAGGTTGCATACCTGGAAGGGTGTCATCGCACTCTGCATTGTGGGTTCCTATGGTTCGTGGTCTTTGACCCTCCTGCTGAGCTGGAAGAGCTGAGATGGAGTCAGCCGCTAAGCCCCCCTTGCAGCAGGTTGGGACTTGGGGTGGGATTGCGCATTGCGGTCCCATACTTAACACAAAACAGGATCAGGTTTTCATAAGAACGTACAACATATCAACCATGCGAGGCGTTCGGGCAGCTTGTTGCTAGCTGCTTGCTGTCTGTGCCGTCATTACCTTGCGTCATGATGATGACTCACTCCGCATCACGGCTTTCGCATATTTCGAGGCTAAAGACTATTCCAACACATCCTTAATGCATTAGCAGCTATTCGGTATTGCATAATGCGTTTCGGAAGTCCTATCGACAGCGCTGCGGGCACCGAAAGCCAAAAAACGAAATACGAAACGTCGCGCGAGCGGCGGTTGACGGCCTTACGCCCGCCGAGCGCCTC